TCTAGTATTCATAGCATACATTTAATGGAGGCTGAACAGAGGGCTTCCAAACAGAAAAGACTTAAACACATAAAATTCCTGAGTGACAAATAGTTCAAATTTGGAAGACAACCCATGGAAAATATCATACATGCCTGACCTATTCTTGTGCTCTTTCATTGTGACAGAGAGATACTCCAGATAGGTCCACAAAGTGTTGACTCCTCTCCATGTTTCAGAAAGCTTTCCTCCAAGAGAGGAAACCAGCCTCACCTGATGGGCCATGGGAGAACTGTCTAAAAATTCTTGCCAGTGCCTTAAAGGAGCAAGCAATCTAATTGGAGAAATCTCTAAATAATTTTAACTATTTTGTCAGCTTTCACAGAGCAGAAATTGGAACTCTTCTTGCAATTGGAAACTGAGGCTTTTTCCTTATTCCAAACCTACCAGTTAAAATTGATGCACAAAAGATTCTGTACCCACATCCTCAAAAATTATTCCCCCAATACTCAAGGAAAAATATTAGGGGAAAGCAATAATCACACAACTTGAAGCAATCCCACAAAATGCTTAAATCTTTCCCTACATGCAAATACCATATTCCTGTATTCTTTATACTCTTAGAAAGCTTTTTGATGCTAATTGCCCAAACTCCCCCAGGTAATTTTAAACTTTTTCAATGTCTTCTTCCTCTTACATAAACCTGAAGTTATTCTCTTTGTCCTGTACCTCTGCATCAGTTGATAATCACCATTCTGCTTGAATTACTGTCCCATCTCAACAATCAGGTATGTGTCTACTTCTGTTCATTTGCATGAGCACTGCATTATGTCTCTTTTCTTTCTCTGCATGCACATTCAATCATACAATTTGGAAAAAAAATCCTAATCCACACCACAACTAAGAATGCCCAAGGCTGTGTTCCCTGTTGGCTCCATGCATTCCCTCAGAAATCTCACCAGTAAATATCATCTACTTCCATTCAAGACTACCTCCTTTCCACCAAAACCAAATTTTAGCATGTAACAATCTCTCAGACTTCTGGCAACCAGCAGGAGATCAGAGTTTTTATACTTTCCTTCCACCTCCAAAAGCTCTCCCTTAATTAGCAGATTTGTTACTACGCACACCACAGACATTTACATTCCTAACCCAAACAAACTTGAAACCACTATTTCCCAAAATTTTGCCACTGCTTGGATAAGTCTCATCCACTTGTTCTACAAAACAATTTTTCATCTCAGGTAGACTTGCACCATCTTCTATTTTTATGACTTCAGCATCCTTCTCTCTGGCCTAGAACAAAATGAACAAACCCACCCGCACAGAATTATCCGAGTGACATTTGTGTGGAATGCTTCTCCAAAGGATGTGTGACTTGCCAGTAGAACAAAGCCAATAAGGAAAGAAGTACACATGTTTCTCTCTCTGCATTATAGGGGATAAAATTACCCCAGCACAGAGAAGAAAAAACAATCTGTTGTTTCTTCTAGGAGGTTGTTCACAGAAAGAAACTTCTCTTCATCCCTTTCCAGGACCAGGACAAGGAAAACAATCTTTTATTTCTGACACCACTTATTCATTGATTCCTCTCCAGCTAACCAAGCCAACTATTTGGTTTTGCTTTCAAAAAAAAGTAACTTTTGAACTCTATCCTGCAGTCAGCTGAATCAAAATGCTGACTTCAAATGATCAGCAGCAGTTGGCTCTGACCAGACCTGTCAGGCTTTCAGACAAGCACCTGCACACCTTAGGAAAAGGTTTGTCCAACCTCTGCCTTATCATGACACACACAAAGAAACTTCCCTTCAGCACCACATCACATTCACTGAACACCATGGGCTCATTTCTTTGTACTCCAGCAGTTTCCTTAAATTATATTTTGAACTGGAGTCAACTCCAACAGATGTATTTGCTTGATCCTACACAAACAATAACACATAGAGAACTCTCAACTAACAAGGCAGTTGCTAGTCAAAAATGTAAGATATGCAAGCAACTCCCCTCCATTTCCTGCATTTTTAGCAGCTCTAAACAAATAGCAGAAGGCTGTTGTTGTACTTCGGGCTGCTTCAGAGCGATCAAAGAAAAAATAACAAGGTTGGCTCTCCATTACCAACTCAATTCCAGTCACTTTAAGTCAGTTTAAGAAATGTCATGGCATTCCTAAACAAAAATAGACTCCTTGGGATCTGACAACATTTCTCCCCTCCTGAAGTGAATTGGAAATAGAGACTGAAATTATTGTTGTGATATTAAGAAGATTTTCTTTCAGAAGTAGATATTAATTGAAAGCAATTTAGGTTGAGGTGGGGAGGAGATTGCTGCAAGACTGCAACTTTTAACAGTATCTCTCCCAGCCACCTGCTTGACTGTAGAACACACCAGCCTTGTTCTAAGAGCCATATGAAAGGGGAACTAGGGCAAGGAGAAGGCTCTAATGGCAGGTACCACATTTTCACAAGGAAGCTCCCTCCTGCTCCAGCCCATCACAAGATACCCTGTACACCTGAGCATCCCAGCTACATCAGCAAAGGGCTCAGCTAATGGGCACAATTGGGACACAACCAGTCTGCTTTAAAACCCAAAGGTTATGAAGGAAAATAAACGTGTGCAACACTTCCCAATCCACTGAGAGAATGAAGGAAGCACTCTCAGCATTCACTGAAAAATGCTGGATGCTTTTTTAGGTTAGTAACCCATCATCTGAGTGCTGGCTATTAAAACTGCACTGTGGATCACAGAATCTTAGATTGTGGCACCCAAAGCTGCACACAGTTCTCAAGGTGAGGCCACACTTGAGTAGAGGAGGAGAATCACTTCTCCCAACTAATTAGTGATGCTGTGCTTGATGCACCCTAGGATTCAGTAAGCAGCTGCAGTTCATTCTGGATTGTCATTGCTCCTGGCATTTCCTCAGTTTCCAACACACTACATGTAGGATCAATAAATACTGAAAACAAAGGAATTACATTAAGAGTCACTATACAAGAAATTCCTGACTTTCTCAATAAAGTGATCACTGGTTCAAGTTTCAGAGAAATGAAGTTCAGCTCCAAGGCCAATAACCCCCACACTCAAGAGCTCTTATAAGCACTATTTCTCAGCTCTAAACCAGAGATACTTTATGAGTATACAAAAGGAAAATAAGAAAACAAAGTTCAGCTTAGTAACACAACTTGATCCAAGCTGTGTAAAACTGAAATAAAAAGAACCAAAGCAAGCTGGAAACTAGCTGCAGAGCTGGACCTGTAAGGCAAATAGTGTTAATCCTCCACTAGAAAGCTGGGGACAGAAGCAAGAGCCTCTCCCTGACTACACCCAAGTTAAATCATGTTTGCCTGCCATAGCCCAGAAAGAGCATCTAGTGCTGTGAAAAATAAAACAGGATTGAGGAGGAGGTAAAAAGGGAGAGGCAGAGAAGCAGAACAAGAGTATGGCTGATGTGGGGGAAAGAATTAGAGTAGAATTACACTATGTGGGTTAGAGGACAGGAGAACACATAGGAGAGACAAAACAGGTAATGCACAGAACAGTGCAGGAATTGATATGCTGTGACCCTTTACAGGAAAGAAACAAAACCAATTTACGAGCCCCATGACAGGGGCTGCAAATAGCCAGAGAGGGTGGGACAGAACACATGAAGAAACCAGAGTCCCTCCAAAATCCAGGACCTTCTCTCCAGATCTCACTCTGTGGGTAGTACTGTGTGCTTAGACCTGCCTCAGCAGGCAGACAACAGAATCAATTGGCTTTACACTGTACATTCTGCACAGTGGTCACAGGCTACATTAAACTCCCACTCTCCAAGTCAAAACCCAAATATTATTTTCCATTTTCAGCAATCCTGAACAATTAAGCAATATTAAAAAAAAAAGGTCAAGTGAAAACAACTGCCCTCCAATGTTGTTCCCACTACAAGTCTTTTGCTCAGTGAGATGAGGGAACCATGAAAGGAAAGTAGTAGGGAAAGGGTGAGGACATGTCCAACACCCAGAACTACTCAGTTGATGTCTTCTTCTTTTTACCAGCAACTCAAATTCAACAGACAGTAACAATCCAGAGAGAGCTGACACCTGCTGCAAACTGTCCTGGTTTGACATGGACAATTCTTGTCCATTCGTTTCCCACCTTTTCTGGAAACCCTGCTCCCCTGCTAAATTTGGATTATGTACTACCTTGCAAAACAGAGCCTAGATTATGGCTTGTCAATAATTTCATGTATCACAATTTGCAGTCTATTTGTTCTAAAGGACATATCAAGCCTCTTCAGCTGGCAGCTCTTAAGGGATACAAAAATTCCCTTCTCTAGCAGCAAAAAGTGAATTACTCTTCCATGACAGGAGGAGTCACTGTAACATTGTCAAAACTGATAAACACCAGGTTCCAAGCAGTTTGTGGGCAACACTTTCAAGCCCTCTAATTGCAACTGTGTCCCTCCTCTAATCAGCTCCCTACACAAGACCTGAAAGCATCATCATGGTGTCCATACAAATGCTCACCACAGTGGGGAGGAAAAAATAAAAGAAAAAAAAACCCCAAGCAATTCTGCATAGCCCTCCTAAGCTGCAAGAGGCTGGTTCTTGCTCTAAAGCATTCAATGCTTCTAGTAACTCTGATAACATAGAAAATGCTTCCTCCATCTTGCCCTGTTAAACTAATCAATAGTTTTGTATAAGACAAGAAATAGAGCTTATTGTCCCTGTCTAACTATTGTAAAATGGTAAAATACTATTTATCCAATAAAACTGATTTGAGAAAAAAATTCTTGAGGTATCTTCATAGTTACAAAACTCCTTTTAAGTTCTATATTCTATATTATTGCTATAATGGACTTTTATGAGTTAATCCTTTCAAAACTATTCAACAGATCAAAACAACTGAGTGCAGCAGAGCACTGTGATCATGACACTTCTGACCTCCACCCAGGTATATTTCAGCTCTTAAATTAACTTTTACATACAGAGGGAGAGACAGAGGAAATATTGAGGTTACAAGTATGTGAATAGAAACTGACTCACCACAGTCCTTTGCTTGTTGGGCAGGAAGACTCTAACAATGGGCTTCTGTGGAGACTTAGGGTTATTCCGTGACATATCAGCAGGGTTCTGATAAACTGAAAGGGATGAAGGTGCTACAGAGAGGCTAGAGGAGGAAGATGATGCAACTGTGTCTGTTGAAGCTGAACTGGAGACGGAGAAATCAGTTCCATTCCCCATGGATTCCAGTAACTGCTGCTCTCTCTGCTGTAGAGCATCAAGCTTGCTGGTGTACTCTTCATAGGCCTGTGAAGGAACAGCAGCTGTTTTAATCATGTAGCAGCCTCAGACAAAACCAGACATCTCAATTCAGAACAAACGTCAAACAAAACACTTCCTAAACTAACACAAGTCTCCCAAGAACATGGACAAAACGGTCTGGTCAAACTTTTCAGGATACAATGAAGAACATCATGTTAAACCTTCTGAACCAACAAGTTATGTTTAAATAAATTAAAGGAAGAAAAGGATCAAAGAAATCCTAAGTTACCCTTTCAAAGCACCTGCACTGAAGATTCTAGTTCATAACCACTTAAAAAAAGACTTTAACCAATATTTGGTCTTTAACCAATATTGTCAGCTGCAATGCTGAATTACTGTGCTCCAGATAAATTCATCATTCTGTTGGAATGACAGTTAAGCACTTCTAATGCAATAATTAGGAGAAAGCTCAAACCTGCTTTTTATCATCCATATCTGACTCCTCACTGTTCACTACCCTTCAACTCTGGCACTATCATTTCATATTAAATAGTACAAAATATGTTTTTCTGTTAGAACACAACAAATTTTGCCCATTTCAAAGCCATCCATAAACATGTAAGTGATCCTTTGAAACTTTTTTAACATCTTTTCAGCATGTTTACACAAAACCCACTTATACAGATCAAGTTTCTTAAGCAAACAAAAACATCACTAATATTAAATTTGTCCATTAAGTCTTTATTAAATGTAGTCAAGTTAAACATTATTGCCAAGATCTATAAAACATATAATCAGTATATATTTTTCTTTAAATTTGTTATGCACAATTTTGTAACAAGAAAATTTGATATCAAATACTAGAACCGTTTCTTCAGTGTATAAATTTAAAAAAATCTGAATCAGTTGAGCAACATGTGTTTCATACTACTAAAGCATGTCAGTGTTAACTGACATATTTATAACTTGTTTAGACCTTTACAGAAAAGAAGAAACAAAGATCTTCCAAACCTAACATGAAAGCAGTAGGGAATGGAAGGTTCTACTTTCGTCTATAGCAAGAGCAAGATCCATACCAATATGCATAAATTCTTCAGTGATATTTTCCAGTATATTTATACAAAAGAAAAATACTTTCTGGTTCTGTTTTTTTTTTTTTTTTTAATTACTTATTTTACTTGCTTTCCTACTTTTTTGTTTATGACTGTTGCTAATTAAAGTTACAGGAGAACTGAACTGACCAAATGGTCTGCAGCATCTACGTGTGGAAAAAGATAAATAAAGAGGAAAAACAACCAACTTTTAGTAGTGCAGCCACAAGTACATTTTATTGGGAATTTATTTCTCCAGGTTAAATGTGCAGGCTCATCTAATCCAAACTGCTCTTGCTGTGTAAACAGTGGTTCATCCCTCCATTTTTAAGAAAGCTTTGCACCCTCCCAGGATGGACATGAACATCACAGTTGCAAATTCTAAATTTTATGGGTTCCACTTCTGATAAACATAGGTTAGTTGTAAGCAACTGAGAATTATTTAATATCTCTTTTAAAAACTGAAGATGTCTAGCATTTCACAAATAGACCCCAAACTCTGAGACATAAATCCAAACCATTTTCACTTTAACCCAATTGTATTGTCAAAAGTAAATGGAAAGATTACCCAAGTATAAATAATGGCATTTTTTGGCTGCACAGTGACACATGTGTCTCTCCTACTTCCAGGATCAACTTTGCATGGAAACTTGAGTAAAAGCTCCATGTGTCAAGAATTATTTTCAGTAAACAAAAATTAGGAAACGTAAACTGTTACCATTTCACCAATACTGTTCTAAATACTTACTTCCCTTTCTCATGAACATTGCAAAATATTATTCCAACACACGCAACATTACATTGCTTCCGGACGCTCGTGGGTTTGGTTCCTTCACAAAATTACACACAACTTTCAAAATACTCAATCCTACAATGTTTACATTGGCAGCTTAATCTGTCACTAATGCAAACCAAAGTCAAATGATTTATCTTAAGAGAATAAACAATGAGTATGGAAGGCTGGGAGCTGCAGCTGGCTTTGGGTTCTACACCACTGATTTCTGCAAAAAGCTTGGTATTTTTTCTGAGAACAAAAGCTCTCAAGTACCATACAGCTATTTGGTGTCACAGCAGAAGATCCCACAGTAAAACATAAAGGAACTAAAAATGCATTGCTAGACTTTAAAAACATTTTTCTCTTTAAAAAAAAAAATTCTTATACAAAAGGAGCTACAGTACATGCAGCAGAAACAGAATATCTCCAATAAATTCTCATTTCACAAAGATTAAGTACTTTGAGGAAACAAAGATTCATCTGATGATTAGCACCAATAGACCTTACAAAGACAACAGCACCAAGTCAAGACAGAATTATTTTACAGAGTTAAATTCAAAGACAGCTACATCAGCAAAGCTGACCTATGGCAAGTATTTCTAGCTAAAAGAAAGATAATCTTGCAGGTTTGGCCTATCTACCACTAAACTGACCTGCAGCAACACAGCCACTTTAGCAGACAAGCATCAGCAGCTACACAAACCCTCAAGTCCATCAAGGCTCACTGGGTCAACTATGAGGTTGATTTCTGATCATGTTTTTGAAAAACAAACTAAAAAGATTAAAATTAAGTCTGTACAGAATCAATAGCATGAAAAATATTAAGACGAATATTCAAACAAATCATTAAATCAAGGATTCCAAAGGCATTTCAGAAGGAAGAGTTTAGGAAATCTAGACTGCAATCCAATCAGTTTACATATTCCCATTAAGAAGTGAGTAATGTTCTACATAAAACTTAAATCTTGCTTGATACAGAATGAGAAGAGAGAAAAAAAGGGTCAGAAAATATCTGCAGAAGTCATCTAGTCCTAACACACATTTAGCACAGAAATAATTTTCAAGTTCAATGAGGTTGCTCAGGGCCTTGGCAAAGCAAGCTTTGCACGTCTTGAAAGATGGAGAGCCCACAACCTGTGGGCAGCCAGCCCTAGAGCTCAAAGCCCACGGTCACAATGAAGAATTGTCTCATGAAATGAACTGATGCTCACTATCTGTGACATTGCCCCTTCCCCGTTTGCTCTGCAGGTCTGGGAAGAGTCTGAGTCTCTCTTTATGCTGAAAGAGCCTGCAGATTCCTCCTGAAGCTTCTCTTCCCTGTGCTGAACACCACCCCAAAGCAGCCACACAATGAGTGCATGGGTGCCTCCTCATTTGCTGCTGCAGCCCAGTGTGCAGTTTGCTGCTGGGATTGTGAGCGTGGGTCACTGACAGCTCAGATCACTCCCAACTTGGTGTGAATTTCCAAAGCTTCATTTCACAAAGTATATATTTGAGAAATTGAACATTAGATTAAAATCTGCACAACTTGTCTATCTACACATAATCCTATGACTATCAAAAACAGAACAGAAAGTGAGTTTTAATTATACTGCATATCAATATATTTGCACATCATATAAGTCTCATATGTGTGAGAACACCCCTGAGACTTCAACTAAGTAAAATGCAGCAAGGCCTGATAAGCTGCAAAGTCCAACTAAAGCCTTACAAGATGGCATGTTTATATTCCATGTGCACACATGCCAAATAAAACTGCTCTTCTATTCTGCTGTATATATTCTGTAGCTTTAACTGTTGTATATACTCAGGAACAGCAGCCGTAACTCTGAAATGTTGTCTTCTTAAATGTTGCAACCTACTGACAAAATAAAAACTGACCTCAGAATTCAACAGAATTTGAGAGATGTTATGCAGATGTGCCAAAAGAGTTATGTTGATGCGAACAAAGGATTTTCTCAAAAATATGCATTTCTTTTCTTACATATCATTTATTATATTTGAAATTTGGTTTTTTGGGCCATGACTAGGCTATACATTCTAGTGAAATCATCTAAGGAAATAAAAAGCAGCAAGTTAATTTTTCTTTTAAATTAATCTGTAAGAAATCCAAGTAGCAAGATATGATTTCTGCTTCTCTCTGCCCCCTACTAGATCTGGTTAGAACATTAGTCCAAACTCAAGCAGGTAACTGTTTTTGCCATGCCCTCTCTCTTCCTCAATCAACTTTAGGTAATATCCACATTTTGCAAGACTCAAAAGCCTAGACTACAGGTTCCTGGTTTTTGAAACTGAGATTGTGTTTCTATTTAAAAGATGTCTGACCTTTTAGGCTGTTGATCAAACGTAAATCCCACTAAGTTAAATGGGAGCTGAAGATAGACAGTAACGTACGTCACCATTTCTTCATTTAGTAAGACTCCTAAATCTGTACTTAGTCTAACTTTAGACACTCCAGATTTGGTCCAACATATTTGAATAGCATCTGTTAGGAGGCTGGTAAAAACCAATCTGAAATTCCCCAGAGGGCCACCAGGTTTCCCAGTGTCTATATGCAGCGTTAGCGTTTTCCTGGAATCCCACAGTCTGGAACAATCTGAGATTCGTCACCAAGATCTATTTTAGACTGTATCTGCATGCTGTTGCAACAAGCATACTTCAGATCAGCAAAGAGGTAACCTTCTTTAATTAACTAATTTGACCTCCTGCATGGATTCTTCAGTTATACAGGAATAAGAAATTAAATAGTCTCCTGATGTTCAATAGCCAAACTCTCAAAACTGAGAGCAGCAAAGCCTCTGAATAAAACACATTCAGGCAAAGAGAAAGGCAAGAAAAAAATAAAAATCACAGTAGCTGGGGGCAAACATACCTCTACCCCCACAATTCTCATTTTAAATTGCTTCCAAGAGTAGGAGTAAGAAAGAGAATGATTCCTTCAAGACAGTATTAGAAAGCTGACCGAGTTCTAAAACTTATTTTGATACCCCTGTAATTCTATACAGTTGCATACTGCTTCATTTTGCGTGGAGTCCAAATTCAAGAAACCAAACCACACCAAAGAAACCCCAACAGACTGGCAGCTCAGTCTTGAACTGTTAACTGAAGTAACCAACATGTCCAGAATGCAACCCCATCCCAGACAACAATTCACACACAAATGGGCCAACACTGTTTCA